AATTTTTTATCGGCACCGAGACAAAAAAGTGTCGAATTAACACAAAGTTGGATATTAAATATAATTAAAATAGTCACTAACAGAATGTGAATTACTATAATGGACTTAAATGGAAGATGGGTATAGATAGTATGTTAAAAATTTGTAATTAATGAAATTTTCATGACAAAACGTCTCGACTGTCAAAGTTATAACTAAATTTGAATTTGAATATATGTGTAGAATTAAACCTATGTGAAAACCTTTTCTGTAGCATATAAATCTTGACAGTTGTTGTTCCGTTAAAGTTTTGTAAATTGTTAGTTGTAAAAGTGCATCAAGACTGCAAAATCATATGTGCAGAATGTAAATGACCCTCATAACTCCATAAAATGTGCTTAAACTCCAACCAAAGGTTAATTTGTTGTGTAGACTTTAGAATGCTTGTCGGAGCGGAGTACTCAAAAACTTTCTTTCGTTTACATCTGAAAAAACAAATAAAGACTGTGTAAAAGGTGTTTAATAGGTAGTACTAAAGACATAGAAAGGACAGACATGCTGAGAATTGGTCTATTCATCAAAATTAAGGTGAATTTTGTAAAAATAAGTAAAATTTTGGCATAACTTTTAACTTAACCTAGATACGTGTAATTGGTGTCAAAAGATGCAGAAAAATGCAAGGGAGCTGGAAATAGAAATTTCGTGCACCTCAATTCAATCCATAAACCAGTATTTACATAAATAAAATTTCAAAAATGCTTATTTTACGTTGCTATAGTATATTTCATTTGTTTCCCACGTCTAAAAGCTGTTTTACATTGACAATTTATTGATCAATTAATTGATGAAGTCGCTTCATCAAGAAATTGGACAAGTGTAATGCACCAAATCAGCTGTTAAATAACTTCTTCAATTTATTCATCAAGTTCTTGACGAATTAGAGCATGTTCCAATTTTCGTGATTTGTTATTTACAAAAACTAATATTTATATAATATGTGTCGGAACGGTACCGCTGTTGTATCACTACAATTATGAGTGGAAAAGTGACATTTTTGAAATTTATTTGCTTCCTTGATTCATTGGTAGAACTGATTCATACGTCAAAAAACTTCACAAAGCAGTGTAAAACCACACTGTTTACCAATAAATTCATGAATTAATTGATGAAGAACTTCGTTTATTGATGAATAAATTGTCAATGTAAAACAGCTATAAAGCTATAATAAAACCAATATCCGGGCTCGAGGTAGCCAGTCTTCCATGTTTACCTGCAGCAGTAACATCGTTAGTTTTGTTCCTAGAAAAACAATTTCCATCAGTTATAATCAACAAATCAGTAAAAATTTGTATACTTATTTGGTGATCTAATGTCGTGACAAAATTTAACAGTCAAAATGTTACATTAGTGGAAGTGAAAAAACAGTCTCAACACAAGCAACTGGTAAAACAACAAATTGAAACAAGGTGAATTGGCATAAATAAAAAAGTGACAAGTGAAATCTTTAAAAAATATAGTGCAGTGTAGTTTCACCTGGCGGAATTCCTGTAACAGCACATAAAGGATACTTTGGCAATTTCCGCGACGAGACGCCAGTTCAACGAGAGAACGTCAGACCAGCGCGACTACGGATAGTGTCGCGGACCGGGATCGATCGCGAGTTATTGCAAATATAGGAAGGTAAATATAAAAAAAATCGAGAACGCGAGACGATCAACAGCAGAGGACAAAATTGACAGCGGAGAATAAAGTTGTCGAATTTTGGTTGTCACACCGCGTTATTTGCAATTAATTGGGAAGAAAACGTAAAAGAAGAGCGGGAATTAGTTGCAGATCGTGAACTGCATCGTGTGGAAATCGAGACTAATGACCAAGAGACTGTATCGCGCGATACCGGGTGTAAAAAACTTACTTGACCACGAGTCCTTTTGCAAACAAGTATTAAGACATTGTGTACTTGTAATATACATCCTGTGGAGACTTGTGTCTTTTCCTGGGAGAAATCCTGTCAATTCTGAACTTATACCATCATCTGTGGTTCCTAAGAGTAGTGGGTTTTGTCAAGAAACTAATAGTTAGTGAGGAAAGACTTTTTAATAGAGCTAGAGATTTGTAAACAATGCATGCATATAACCATAGACGAAATAAACCGTAAGTCGTAAAGCAATAATCTCGTTAGGTAAAAGTTGAGTGGGGTGATACTGTTTACCCGACTTCTAAGACAATCTCAATTGTGCAATATATTATGACCTCAAGGGAATACGTAGGCGCTTGTGGGCCCCGCCCAACGATGGATGTAGAGGAAGAGATACTCCAGGAGTCTCTCACTTCTACAGAATCACTAGAAGGCGTCTTCAGTCAGTCGGACGGACAACCTGGAATCAATATTGACAGTTCTCGGCCAGATTTGACTAGAGAACGACCTCAACTGGAATTGAGGTTTTCAACTGACAGAGACTTACTAGTAAACCCGGTTAGTAGCGCCGGAGGGTCCCCCGGCGCCTCAGCGACGATCAGGCGTGCACACGAAGTCGCGCAGGCGCGCAGGCTAGAACAATAGGAGATTTCGCCATACAGCGTGGTTACATGCGAATTTAACAACCAGCAAGAAATCTGTCATTGTAAGTGTCGATATATGTATATTAAACTTTGCAAATTTGAAACACAAAGCGCTATATAAATCTTTCCATCAAAATTCTCACTGCATATTTATATGCAACTAATGCACGATTTTAACCAATTCAACTACTGACAGTATAAACACATTTATGCACTGTTATAGTAGAAATTTAGGGGGAAATTTATTGTTCATTCATCTAGTTTAAGGATTACAACAATTGTAAATTGTAACAAAACCCATAACCTGCTAAATCTAGTAATATATTGATATTTTGTTATTTTAAATACATCTTTCATTTAAAGAATTTAGAGTAGAAATTCAATACATCAAATTTTAAATCAAAATATAAAANAAGCAAGTAAGTAAGCAAGTAAGTAAGTAAGTAAGCAAGTAAGCAAGCCAGCAAGCAACCTAGCAAGCAAGCGAACAAGTAAGCAAGCAAGCAAGTAAGTAAGTAAGTAAGGAAATAAGCAAGCAAGCAAGTAAGGAAGGAAGTAAGCAAGCAAGCCAGCAAGCAAGCTAGCAAGCAAGCAAGCATTCAAGCAAGCAAGCCAGCAAGCAAGCAAGCAAGTAATAAGTAATTAAGTAAGAAAGCAAGTAAGCAAGCAAGCAACCAATAAAGCCAGCAAGCAAGCCAGCAAGCAAGTAAGTAAGTAAGCAAGCAATGCAGCAAGCAAGCAAGCCAGCAAGCAAGCAAGCAATCAAGCAAGCCAGCAAGCCAGCATGCAAGCAAGCAAGCAAGCCAGTAAGCAAGCATGCAAGCAAGCAAGAAAGCAAGCAAGCAAGTAAGTACGTAAGCAAGCAAGCCAGCAAGCAGGTAAGCAAGCCAGCAAGCAAGCAAGCCAGCATGCAAGCAAGCAAGCAAGTAAGCAAGC